AGTATTCCATTGGAGAATTGAGATGCTCCGTCGTGGCAGATTACATACTTGGCGGGAAGAATCCACAAATGATGGTATTGATATGTACGACCAGAAACATTCCTAACACGATTGATGCCACAGGGAGGAGGAATGCCAGAATCAAAACAAGAGAAGAAGAAAGAGCCAGTCGTAGGGCATCTAAGAGACAATTGTAGATGATAAACAGTGGATTTGAGAGGGGTTGTTGAGCAGGGGGAAGCCAGAGAACCCATTCATCAGAAGGAAGTTGAACCTGTCCACACCTTACCCTACTGTAACAGTATGGCATCGTCGCCCGGTAATATTAATTAATAAGCAACTTAATTTCTTATAAATGCTTAGCTAAGATAACTGAATTTCATCGAAAAAGCTAGGAATAGAAAGGAAACTACAAAATTGAGGATATTGACAGGAACCTTCAGTTAGAGGTCAACCAGAGAGCCGCCAACCATCTACAAGGTTAACCCTAGTTCTGATTACATTTTTGAATTACTGATGAGGGGGAGCCAGAGAGTTCCAAGATGTTGCAATCTTGCAAATATTTAGAGATTGCTGGATAAAGGCCCATAAGAAGATATGAATTCTCATTTCGAAAAAGAATGACAGTATTTGAGCTTGCGTTGAAACTTCCAAAAAGGGAAGAGAACACTCAAGAACAATGGCGTGTACAAACTGGGAAGAAAGGATGATTTGGCAACCTAGTGAGATACAAAGCTCGTTTTGAGATACAAAGCTCGATTGGTCGTTAAAGGCTTTACTCAAAAGAAAGGTATTGACTTTGATGAGATTTTTTCACCAGTTGTGAAAATGAGTTCTATTCGAGTTGTGCCAGGTCTTGTAGCCAATTTGAATCTTGAGTTAGAGCAGCTTGATGTAAAGACCGCATTCTTGCATGGGGATCTAGAAGAAGAAATCTATATGGAATAACCAGAAGGATTCAAGGTCGAGGGAAAAGAGGACATGGTTTGTCGCTTGAAGAAGAGCTTGTACGGGTTTGAAACAAGCGCCGCGACAATGGTATAAAAAGTTTGATTTTTTCATGGTGAATCAAGGATACAAAAGGACATATGCAGATCCTTGTGTATATGTCCATTCAGGAAATTTTTCTTGATGATAAATTTATTCATCCTTCTCTTATATGTTGATGATATGCTAATCGTTGGACTAGATGCACACATGTATTAGCAGGTTAAATAGAAGATTTGTCAAAAGCATTTTGGACATGAAGGATTGGGTCTCAGCAAGTGAATTATCTCGAAATGGGAGATCTATCGAGACAGAAAGTCCTTGCAGGGTTAAATGGTTTATCGCCAGGAAAAATATTGATTCCTGCAAGTTATGGTTATCGCAGGAAAAATATATAAAGAATGCTAAACCAGTTAGCACTCCACTTGCCGCTCACTTCAAGTTGAGTAAGAAATCCTACCCATCAACAGAGAAAGGAAAAGGAGATATGTCAAATGTTTCATATTCCTCAGCGGTCGGAAGTTTTATGTACGCAATGGTGTGTACGAGACCAAATATCGCTCATGCAGTTGGCGTTGTGAGCCGATTTTCGTCAAATTCCCAGAAGACACATTGGGAAGCAGTGAAGTGGATCTTCAGATACCTGAGAGGAACTTCAAAGTTGTGTTTAACTTTTGGAGGTGAAAAGACTGCACTTGTTGGCTACATAGATGCAGATATGGCCGATGATATTGATGAAAGAAAATCTACATCAAGATACCTATTTACATTCTCAGGGGGAGCTATTTCATGGCGATCAAGATTACAAAAAATGTGTTTCATTATCAACGACTGAAGCAGAGTATGTTGCAGCAACGGAAGCAGGAAAGGAAATGCTTTGGTTAAAGCGATTCTTTCAAAGTACGTTGCAAGTAACAAGAGCAGGAAAGGAAATGCTTTGGTTAAAACGATTTTTTTCAAAAGAATTGGGGGCTGGTGCAGCAGGCAGAAATATATAGTTTATTGTGATAGTCAAAATGGCTGTTAGACTTGAGCAAAAATAACTATGTATCATGCACGACGAAGCACATTGACTGTAGAGATATCATTGGCTTAGACTTACCTTTTGAAGAGAAGCGAGTTTCAATTGCCGAAAGATACCACACAGACAGAAATGCCGCAGATATATTGATTAAAGGTCATTCCGAATAGAAGTTCGAGCTAGTGTCAAAAGCACAAGGGATGGGAGAGTACCATCATTGGTAGTCGGGAGGGGAAGAATTGTTGTTTTTTTTTTTTTATGGGGGTCCTCCAACATGGTGGACTCCACACACATTTTGAAAGAAAAAAAAAAATATAAAAACACTTTTTTGTTGTATAAAACACTTTTTTGTTTTGGTGGCAGTCAAAGAGAGACTGCCGAACAAAGCACGTTCATTTTGTTATTCAAAGGACGGTGCCAAACAAAGAAAGAAAAAGAAAAAGGAAAAGTGGACGCGTGATTAACGCGTCCACTGCGTCCCCTTCTCCTATAAAAAGGAAAAAGATTTTCACTTCAAAGCGTACAAAAACAAAACAAAAAAAAAATGAAGATTATAATTTTAGGAAAGGGTTCATAAAATTGGGAAAGCGAGAAAATAGTGAGGATTATAATTTTTGGGGTGTTTTTGTTAAACACTTAGAGTGCCACTATTTTTTATAATCTCTTTTGTACCTACTATTTTTAGTTTAGGTTAGGAAAAAAAATTATTCGGAGTTTTTTTGGTCCCAGTGGACGTAGCCCATAACGAGTGAAGGAGGTGAAAACACACGGTAAACTTCTTGGTGTTTCTTATTTTTCATTCTCGGCATTTACGGTAATTATTTAATTTTTACCGTGATTATTATTCTTGAGATGGATTCGATCGTCAATTAATTTTTACCGTGATTATTATTTCTGATGGATTCGATCGTCAATATCCAATACGTAATTATTGGAGCATTTTTCGCGGGCCCCACTCGGGATTAATTTTTTTGAACTCAAGACAATATTTTATCAACAAATCAAACACAAATAGTGCAAAATCACATTGATTATAACTTTTTACTAATATTTTAAAGAATTTAATCAGTACATTATTATAATTAAATAAAAAAAAAGGCGAAATAACAGCAGACCTAATAATAGATAAAGCTTGGACCTTTGAGTGAGCAAGAGATAAGGTATGGATAATGATAGAGTAAGAGTAGAGATTACATAAACAAAGGAAATAATTGTCTAGAGTGAAGAAGAGATATTAAAAGCAACGCACTTTTACTAATTTTCTCACAAATTAACTGGAAAAACCTATAACACCCATCAATTTTTAATTTTTAAAATTAAAATAAAAATGAAAAGAAAATCATAAACACTTGAAGAGAAGAGTAATAGGGAGTTTGTCGGAAAAGCAGCAAGGAGAGGCAGACGAGTGACTTTCCAGATATAAACTCTCATTAAATAAGGGTAAATGAGTCATTTCTAGCTGTTTGCCATGTCAAATTTGTGTTAGTCTCTGCCAACAAAGTGGTGTAAGTCCACATATGATGCTGACTCACATTTGTGGAACCCCACCTCATGTTGAATCAAGATTTCGGCTGTTAGATCATAAATTGACACTTAATTGGTATTTTAAAAAAGTTTAAGCACTCAATGGTTAAGATTTTCTGTTCAGGCATCAATATAACAAAAAATTGAAAGAACAAATACTAAATTTATCTTTTATCCTAAACAGTAACGCAGAGAAAGCAGAGAATTTTGAAAATTGACGCTTCGTCTTCTCCAACATCTTTGGGAAGCTCTTCGCTTTCTTATCCATCTATACGATCAAAGTTCTCATCTCTAACAATGATTTTGCTTAGAGAGAAAATTATAAAGAAAATCCTCAAAAATTATGTCACTCTCATTATTGGCAAGGTTGGCTGTGAAAAGATAAAAGAAGTAGAAGGTGAGTAATTTCAAAACTTTTGCCTTTCTTTATCTTTTCACCGGTCAGGATGGCGCATCGTGCCATATCATCATTGATTAGGCTCAAGTGAGACCCACTATGTGCTAATTCATATTTTCTGTGTCCAGGTCACTATTTGACATCTGAGTGTAAGTACTGATAAGTTTTTTTTTTTTTTTTTGAAAGCAAGTACTGATAAGTTTTAGATACTCAATTGGAAAAGTTTTATATTCAGATGTCAAAACATAAACAATTAAAAATTCAACAACCAAAATTGTTGTTTATCCAAAAAAAAAAAAAAAAAAAAAAAAAAAATTGTTGTTTATCCAAACAAAAAAAAAAAAAAAAAAAAAACCATGGTATATAGAAAGGTCCATATTGATAAGAGATTTAAAAAAAAATTTAAAATAAAATAAAAGTTAAATTATCTCGGCGTATCCAAAAAAAAAAAAAAAAAAAAAAACCATGGTAGATAGAAAGGTCCATATTGATAAGAGATTTAAAAAAATAAAATAAAATAAAAGTTAAATTATCTCGGTATCCTTTTGATCTAGATGAATTTTTTTTTATTCATTAGAGACACAATGGGTCGGATAACACTGCGGATTACACAATATGGATAGTCTTCTCTCAATTCAGTAAATTACTGAAAATTTTTATGATTGAGAAGGCTCGAATTCGAAATCTTTCATTCCTCACACAAATGAAAGGTTGATTGACTTTGATCTAAATAACTTGATCCACGGAACATTATTAATAAAAATTTCTTGTATATCATATTTGTTTTATTTTTGTTATTTGTTTAGTTATGTATGTTAACCAGGGTGACCATTAGTCAAAATTACTCAGAAAATGGATTTGAACTTATTGATTCGGTTTGATTTTAGTTTTTAACAGGAGTAACAAAATGATTACCGATTTGAATTCAGTTTCATGCGGTGGTAACGACTAACGGAATATTATTTACTGCACAAAATGGTCAAACGGAGTTAAACAAACGAACCAATCAGAATCTATTCGATTCCACTTATTTATTTCCTACTCACTTTATTTTTTTTTTTTCTTTGGCAGTCGGATGCACACCTCTCTCTTTGGCTCTTTTTAACTAAAGCATTTATATTTTCAAAAATTAATAGTTTTAATTCACTCTCTTGTTTGCTTTTTTCAACACCGAAAAAAGAAAAAATCGAAAGCAAAACGTCTCATCCCTCTGCACACTCACTTGCCGCCACCTCCGTTTCTTGGCCGCGTTGTCGAGGATTTTTTGGCCGCGTTAAGGATTCTGAGAAGCAAAGTAAGCGCGATTTGTGATAGCTCTTCGCTTTCTTTATTTTTTTTTTTTTAATATATTTTCTTTTGTTTTTGTTTTGATATTTTTTTTACACTAAAACGTACACAATCCTCTCCGGCACCTTGATATCCTGATCTTATGATCTCACTTATCGAGAGAGGAAACGGCATTGTATTTTCCTTTTTCCCTCTAATAATGCCCAATTTTAGGATCTGGGTTTAGCAATAGAATTAGTGGTTGTAATTTTTTTTTGGGTGTTGTTGTTGATATTTTTTATATGGGTTTGTTGGAATATCATGAAATTTTGCTTGCAATGTTTCTTTATTTTCAATTTTTGTTTTTGGGTTTCACTTATCTGTTTTCTGGAATTTATTTAAGTATTTGTTTTGTAGCGATACGAAAATTTTTTTGGCTTGTTCGGTATTATTATCAGACGGTTGATTAAGCTGTGAAGTACATTTTCTTCTTCCCCTCTAAAAAAAAAATTTAAATTTGGTTTCATATGCTATTATCTCCCTTTGGTAACAAATGGTTTGTCTTACTTAGAAGCATTCTGGTGTCTCTTAACACTTTTAGTCAGCTGTGTTTTTACTTTACTTTTCATGGAAACTGGTAGCCTTGATTGTATAAAGGAAAGTTAGAAACTTGTTGAACTTGTATAAACATCAAGGGTAATGGAGCTGTTTGGTTTTTGCAAGATTCTGAAATGTTTTTGGAGGTATAATTGTAAGACATGCACAAATGCTAGAGTTGCCTTGTGGTAAATACTATAGAGTATGTCTTTGTTTGGCCCTGTTATTATTGTTCCTAATCTTGCATTTGGTTGTTAAAAGTTGCACATACAATTCCTGTTTTCCCTTCTTTACATTTGTTTGGAAGTGTGAAAATCTACTCAAAATGTACATGAATTCTGTTGGAAGCTAAATGTGAATTTGAAAAGAGAAATTCTCTGTTTAAGCCTAGAGGAGCTTTACTATAGCAAGACAAAAGAAAAAAAAAAGTTATTTGCCTAGTTTTAATTCTATGTATGGTTTTTGTTTACCTGAATGAAGTCCAAATTGAAAATCGTGCAGGATTTTTTGGTGAGCTTAATTCTGGTTGCCTGTGGGCTTATTATTATTTTCTGCAGTTTCTATTTTTTGGATCATTTTTTCTCATAAAATCTGTTAATTGAAATTTGTGGATAACAAATTTCATGATTGCAGTCAACCTGTCTACAGCTGCAGTGACCAGTACATGTGCAGCTTCACAAACAAGTAAATTGGGGTAGTCTCTCTGCGACCAATTAGTTAGCTTATCTCCGTAATGCTCGTTGATAAATTTCATGCATTTTATGAGATTCTTTAGGCAATTTTTCTTAATTGAGATTGCTAAATATGTGACATTCCTATCTCATTCTTGATAGATTTTGTGACATTCATATCTCATTCTTCTTTTTTCCTTTACAGGAAACATGTTTATCAAAGTGCAGTTGCCTTGGAATGTTATAATCCCTGCCGAAAACCTGGATGCCAAAGGACTGATGCTGCAAAGGTCGATTATCATCCGCCTGCTGGAAGATTTTGCTATTAAAAAGGCTACCAAAGATCTGGGGTACTATCTTGCTGTAACCACTTTGGAGAAAATAGGGGAGGGCAAAGTGAGGCAGCATTCAGGGGACGTTCTATTTCCTGTTGTGTTCAATGGCATCACCTTTAAGATCTTCCGTGGAGAGATTCTAGAAGGGGTTGTTCACAAGGTGCTCAAACATGGGGTTTTCTTGAGATGCGGACCTATTGAGCACATATATCTCTCTTGCATGAAAATGCCGGATTATCACTACGTGCCTGGAGAGAATCCAGTCTTCCTCAATGAAAAGACGTCGAAGATTGAAAAAGAGACAGTGGTCAGATTCATTGTTCTTGGAACAAAGTGGCTAGAGGCCGAAAGGGAATTTCGGGCATTGGTCAGTTTGGAAGGTGATTACCTTGGACCTGTCTCCTAGAGCCCTTCTGTCTACTTGGCTAGAGATGCTTGTAAATCCCTTTTATTTTCATTTGGGCAAAAACTTAACTTAAATGCGGCATGCTGGTTGTTTCTCTTGGAGCTGAACATCTGCCTGCATGCCATAGCTATTAGTCATGGACTCATTTGTATCTCGTAGAAGCTTTTTGGTTATTGTTACTGTTAGTGGTTTGATTAGCTACTACTCACTATTGCATTAATAGTAAAGGTATGCCGTTTGCTTGACCAAATGTCAGCAAATCCAGCATTAATAAAACCTAACTGGGTAGTGATTATAAGAGTGGAAATACAGATAATAAGTGGAGAGAAACAAAATGGAGCAAGAAAATGATACAAGCTGGTGAAGGCCCATAAATACAGCACAAGCATAAATGGCAAGAGCTTGTATTATGTAGATAAGCTTAAAATCTGTCTATTTAAACAAACAGACAAAAAAGCAACAGGAAGAAGGTGCCTCTGCTGTAAAGCGGAAGGTTTAATGGAGCAAAGTCAGAAGATGAAATTGCAAATGAGAACAATGCTTAAAATGGCTTAGAATAGAGATTCTCTCTATATTAACGGGTCTCTCATCTCTTTCATTTCAGAAAACACAAATATATACGGTTTTCATCACTGATTAGTCAATACCTATCCCAATATTGCCCATACTCTTACAAGACAAGATTCCACAAAACATGGATTACCACCCATTACTAGCTTCTACCTAAACCAGTCTCCTACATAAAAAATATCAAAAAAAATCATCAAATCACATAAAATCAGCTGGTTTCCAACAGAAATCTCAGCTGGACAAACATTCCTTGGGATTTTTCTTGGAAACTCCAAGCAATGATCTTAAAAACTCGAACTTTGCTTTAGGCAATGGCTTTATGCAAATGTTTGCCTACTGCTCCTCAGTGATGCAATGGACCAATTTAACTTCACCTGACTTTGCTGCCCCCCCCATCATCTGCATTATGTCACATACTACTCCCCAATTTACTTGCCCATACTCATTACAAAGACAATGATTCCACAAACACATGGATTTACCACCCACTACTAGCTTACTACCTAAACCAGTCTCCTACATAAAAAATATCAAAAAATTAATCATCAAATCACATAAAATCAGCTTGGTTTCCAACACAAAATCCTTCAAGCTGGCACAAACCATTCCTTGGGATTTTTCTTGGTGGAACACTCCAAGCAATGAATTCTTTAAAAACTCGAACCTTTGCTTTAGGCAAATGGCTTTATTGCCAAAATGTTTGCCTTACTGCTCCCAGTGATGCAATGGACCAATTTAACTTCACATGACTTTTGCTGCCCCCCCCCCCACCCCTCCCCCCCCCCTCAAACCATGAAACGGTTTGGCCGACTTGTAAGATGTGCTTAGTTTCCCCCCTCAAACCATGAAAGTTGGCATTGATGTGCTTAGTTTCCATGGATTGGAGATGGCAGATTCGTTATGGAGAAAGATGACAAAGCTTCTTGTGGGCAACATATCCAAATCAGCAAGAGTTTTCCTCAACCAAATCATTTGATGTTGCTCCTGCTACTGATACATATTCTGCTTCAGATAAGAATTGAGCAATAATGTCTTTCCTTTCCCAATTAAGGCTTCATTATCAGTCCCTTTTATATAAATTAGGACTCTCTTTGCAGCTGCAAAGTGTTTTGACTTGGATTCTGTATATACCTTGACAGCCCTCTACAAAAACAATCTGGTGATTCGCAACCGAATATTCCGTTGCTAAAAATAAGAAATCAATCACTTCCTGCAATAACAAATACCTATTATAGAATTGAAGGAACCTCAGGTCGGCCGGCTGTATCAGATACTATTTCAAAGCATCGGGCTTTGGTGATGGTTCAGGAGAGAGTTGGGCACACGAGAAGATCGATGCTTTCTATCGATCCCATTGGAAAGTGTCTTAGCTACAAGCTAATGGAAAACAATTTAGGGTTTGATTCACATAATTGTTGCCTTCTGGAATTCCACAACAAAATGGGTGTGAAGTAACTTGAGTCATTTTACTTTGTGAAGCCAATTGAAGAATCCAGCTTTGATAATGTGTTCTCGATTTATGATTCTGCTGTGAAAGACTTGGGAAAGAATTTAGTAATACTAAAATCATTTTTATACAGCCCACTTTCTTCCATATATGATATTCCCAAAAGAATTTAGTAACATACGCCAATCATCTTAATTGTAGCAACATCTGTTGCAGACGGTTTCAATTTCAAAGCAAGACCAAAATGAAGCATTGCCATTCATGCATGTTATGCCTCTCACAGATGTTACCCATCAAAGCATAAACACTGTTCTCTTGAGGGGGGCATACTCTTTCTGCAGTTCTAGAACTTCAAAAGCTTCATCAAAACATTCCAAGCTCACAAGTATATTAGCCATTTGATACATCGGAAGACCTAAATCAGCTAAAATTGCCCTATCCATCATCTCCAAAGCTTCCTCATTTTTCTGTTACATAATAGGAAAACAATTTCGAACAGCAGTAGATGATTGACAGTTATGTTCTACAAAATATAATGATCAATATACCAAGAGACTTGACCATTAAAGCATGCAAACCTGTCCCTAGACATGACATTAACAGATGAAAATGGACTCATTTCAAAATCCATTTGGAAGTCATGCTCAGGAAACTCAAACTTCTGTTCCCGGAGATAAATCATCCCAAGCACATGCCAGGAGTTACGATGTCTAGCATCAATACGTAGGGCACTCTGATAAGTTTTAATTCCTTTCCCAAAATCCTCCGCTGCTACATCTCTGCTGCAGAATCTTATTGCTGGAAAAAAATATTAGCAATAAATAATGAATAAATGGTTAAAATACAGAAAAGTCTAGCATCAAAAAATTTCTGGCATCAGTTAAATCCTATTTTTTGGGGAGTAGGAGAGGAACCACGTGACATAATCATGATCACGAAGAGCGTATGCATACGCAAATCTTGAATTAAGCTGAACGCCAGCTGAAAATTTTTTATAGCAGTTTCATGGTCTTTTCGCAAACTAAAGCAATTTCTCATGGGTCCATTCGTGAAAAAACCGGTGAGGAAAATGGATAATGATAACAACTCAAGATATTGTATAGAACTGCATAAAAGGGAAATATGTAGGCTTGGTGTTCAGCCAAGTCAACATATTCAAATCTGTAAACACACACCAATCTGAGATTGGCAAAACAAGATCCCAAGGTTTCAGAGTTTGATTCTAGAATATTAAAACAAAGTAAAAAGACCAAAAGAAAAAAAAATGGTGCAGTTAAGCATTCAGTTCATCTGAGGGAAAAAGCAATATACTCAGAAAAGGAAATTATCCACAAGTTTCCTGCTTCCTAGCCCAAACTTACTACAAAACAAGGCTTAGCTGAGCTGTGCTGTGTAAGGAAAGATCTGGAGCATAACCACAATGAGGAAATATCTGATGTTAGCAGGGGTAAAAAATAGCAAGGGTGACGATGCACGGTATTGTTGACAAAAGCATGATAACACTACCATGATTGAGGAGCTAAGAAATCAGTTGATATCAGTTTTGATGTGAATTTCAACCGCACTTCGCAAATCGGTACCGAAAGGGACCTTTAACTTTAATCGCTATTTTGAAATTTCAAAGATACCAATATTTTTCTTCTTGCCGGAAGACTTGGTTTTACTTTTCCTGCGACCTCATAATGAGAATAAGGCTGCCAACAGCAAAACAGGGCAGGGAAGCATGTGTGGTCCCTACCAGTCATACATATGAGTTGTACCTCAGCACTAGGCTCGTAAGCAGGAAATAATGTTGCTTCAGCTTCATTTAGAAGATCCATGTGAAAGCATGATATTGCAAACAAGTAGCAGGGTTGAGCCATTTGTGTCCCTTCAAAACAGTAACAGGAAAAGAAGAATAAAGATGCATAATAAGCAACACTATTATGTCAGTGGCAACAAAGAAATGACAAATCCAAACAGGAAAAAGTCAGTGATAAAAACTTAAAACCAGATAATCATGGAAAAAAACAAGCTGACAACTGGTAACATGGAAACTTACTGTGTATTAACTTCAGAATATGGTATCACATTTGATTATTTTGCAAATAGCAGCCAACTAACAATTGTAAATTAGGAGAAACTTAGAACAAAAACAAAAATAAATGAGTACTTTCTGACATAGGGCTGCATCTTTCAATAATATAACATAATCATTTAGCAAGAGGAAGGAATAAAAGACACAAGCCAGAAAAAATATTTGAGTAGTAGGTTTGCTGTAGTATTGATAGATCTGTTCCGAAAATGGAATAGTAAATGAATATATTTATCATCTAATCAGTTCATATTTTGTTTGGTTATTTTCAGAAAGTTACATCATCATTTAATGCTATAGCTGCAGTGGAGTGTGCAGTCTGCCAACAGTGTAAGGAAAGACTATTTCTTTCTCGACATCGACAACAACTAAGCCTTGATCTCCAAAATTTCACGTGTTAATTGCTTGTAATTCTTTTAACATGAAAGATGAAACACAAAAAATGTCAAATGAACAAAAAAAACTGATGAACACAAATTTGTAGTGCTTGTGGAAGCGCTAGCTAAAGGTAAAGCTCTTTCTTTTTCTTTCCACAAACTTCTTTAGAAAAAAAAAAAGAGCCACTTCAGAGTTCCAGGTCCCAGATGAATCTCCATTGAAGAATAACAAGGAAACAGGATACTCAGTGGCCCCTCTCAAATCCAATGCGAGTTCTACCAGAACCACCATCATGTCCATCTCGCATTGAAGATCCAGCACTAGCTCTCATCGTTCCACTACTACCAATCTCGTCGAAAGCTTTCTTATTACCCTTCTTCACTTCTGTTAAGAACTGATCCAGACCAAATGGATCAGCTTCTTCTGTAGCCTCATCAAACTCAACTGGTCTGTCCCGTGAACCGGTTTTCTCTGATGTACCAGCAAAGGCCTTGTCGGGTTTGAACCTTTCTGTCTTCAAGATCTTATCTAATTGCTCATCAGCACCTCCATACACATCAGCATCAACATCTTTCTTAGGTCGGTACAACGTTGAAAGTGTAGGTTGAGCTGTAAACAGGCCTCTGTCATATACATTATATTGGTCATCATTGGCAAAACCAGAATCCATTCCTTTCTCTTGGTTGAACAACCTTTGATCATACATAACCTCTCCTCCTCTGCCAGTTCCAGTGGAAGCCATACCAAGAGCAACCTTCCCACTGAAGTCGCGATCTCTATCTCTCGTGATCTTTACTCTTCTTACCCATTGCAGCATCTTTTGCCTCCAATTTTCTCTCCCTTTCCCTCTCTCGACATCGTTCCTCGTGAATTTTCTCACGTTGCAGTCGCTCTTCCCTTTCCTCCCTTGTCTCCTTGTGCACATCCCTCTCTCTTTCTCTCGCATGCTCATAATCCCCTACCATATCAACACCCATTGCACTTTTATCAGGTCTCCTTTGTGCACATCCCTCTCTCTTTTCTCTTCGCATGCTCATAATCCCTACCATACTCAACACCCATTGCACTTTTTATTTCAGATGGGATAGGGCAGATGCAGGAGGCTGCAGCAACTGTTCTGTTCAGAACAAGTGTGCTATCTGAGCTATTGGCCTCAAGGTTCTTGCTCTTTTTCTTTCCTTCTCCTTCATCATCATCTCCTTCTGAACTTTGGATCTCATCTCTACAGCTTTCCTTCTAGCTTTCTGCTCTGCAACATAGAGTGCCTCTGATAGCTCTGGCCCAAAATTATCATTGATCTGAACATCCTGCAAGACCTCTTCCTCCGCAGCTAGACGCTTTATCAAGAGGGAATTGTGTAAACCTTTAGCGGTTTCTTCCAATTTGAGATACAAGGGAGGGATTTTCAAATCCCTTCATCATTACTATCTCCTTTCTGAACTTTCCTTCATCATCATCTCCTTCTGAACTTTTGATCTCATCTCTACAGCTTCTCTAGCTTTCTGCTCTGCAACATAGAGTGCCTCTGATAGCTTGGCAAAATTATCATTGATCTGAACATCCTGCAGACCTCTTCCATCCGCAGCTAGACGCTTATCAAGAGGAATTGTGTAACCTTTAGGGTTCTTCCAATTTGAGATACAAGGAGGGATTTTCAAATCCTGCTGGTCTTTCACAGTCACAGGCCTAGGGGGGAGTGCATGACGGGCACAGGTGGGGATCCAGAAGCCTTAGGAACCCTCTTGTGCTTGAACTTGGGTGGCTCAAGTGGGTCTACAGGCATCTCCACCATTCTGATGATTCTTTCCTTTGCCCCTGAATTGAAAGCTGCTGATTGCTGTCATGGCTTGTACTTAATATATTTTGAGTCCGAAGACTGTTTGGGCACATTCTTTGGCTGAGCTGCACTTAGTCTCACATTCACGATCTTTTCAAGTGCAGCTTTAGTTTCTTGGGTTGTCTCTTCAATCTCTTTCTGCAAATCCTCATCCTCATCCATCTCCTCATCGTTTCTCAAAATTTTTGGAATCAGATCCTTGTGTTGCGAATAAACAATTTTCTTTGTGTTCTCATTTTGCTTCACAATGGCATCATATGCCACATTACCATGGCCATCAACAGTCAAAGGAAGAGTCTTTGACCCTGGTTTTGCAAATTTATCCCTACCCATATCAAGAGGGTATTGTGCAATATGAATCTCAGGGAATGCACCCCCATCCCCAAAGTCCTCCACCTTACGGGGCACAAAACCTTTTCGATCCAAGTAGGGTGGTACAGGTTTATGTTTGACAGCTGAGGCCTGCTCTGCCTCAGATGAGCTAAATTGTTGTTTAAACCACGGATCATTTGAATGATCATAATAGGACGTACTACTTGACGTAACTGGAGGCAGGAGATCCTTCAGAGCCGCCATCACAATTTTTTCGTCAAGTGATGAAACACAAACTGGAGCCTCTGGTTCAAGAAGTTACCAACCTGCCAAAGATCAAACAAACTCTCAAAAAAAAAAAAAAAAAAAAAAAAAAAAAAAAAAAAAAAAAAAAAAAAAAAAAAAAAAAAAAAACCACTGAAAACTCAATCATTCTGATTAGCTAAATGCAAATATAAGTACAATGCCAAATAGAAAACAAGTTGTGGATATAGGGTTCGGTTACCTGCCTAAAATGCGCTACCTAAAGCCGAATCTGTTTATAAATGAAGTAAACAAACCTGTTTAAAATTTCAGGTGCACTGCCTGAACCCATCCCAAGCACAATTACCATTACCGACCGGTATACTGCCAGAAACCCGATTAAATTCCCATTTAACACAAAATGGACAAAAACATGCCCGCAAGAATCAAACTATTGAAGAGTTATTTATTTTGCTGTCCTCGGTGTGGGCTCATTCTTCTTTCACCAATAAGCATTGCAGTCCAGGCACGTATTTTGCATCTATATTAAAATAAATAAGAAGCTCTGAAGCCAATAATAACCATATAATTCATGAAGGCAAAGGCAATGGCCACAACTGGGTTTGGCAAAAGAACAAGTGTCCACCTAAAATTCACTACCTGAACCTGAATATAAATGAGGTACCCAAACATGTCCATAACCCAATTAGCATTACCATTTAATACCCGAATAACTCAAGCACAGAACACCAAAAGATTGCTGCTGCCTCAACAATTTCAACAACAAACTATTCAATATTAGTCATGTTTAACTATAGATTTTTCTGCCAGATTATTTACGTTTTTATTTTTATTTTTATTTCTTTTTCCAGCAGAGCCACATACGCAGACACCTCGAAATTGTTCTGCAACAGAATAATTGCATTTTAATCAATAAACTAATTCTTCACCACGAAGAGCATTATATACAGAAAAAATGCATAGAAATAAACATTACTTTCTTCAAAGCAATTCCTAAATAAACAAATTTTCCTGGGTATCCCTCAAAAAAAAAAAAAAAAAAAAAATCTTAATATACAGAAAAAAATGTTCATAAGAATAAATAACACTTACTTTCTTTCAAAAGCAATTCCTAAATAATATCATAATTTTTCTCCTGGGCTCATCCCCTCAAAACAAAAAACAAAAAAACCAAAAATTCGTGCCCCCATCAAATTTGGAAAAAAAAAAAAAAAAAAAAAATCTGCCCCATCAAATTTGGTTGCAGTACTGTTTGATCCAAAGGTAATTTCAAATGAGAAAAAATAATGGGAAATCAACAAAAAAATTATTCAAAAAATCTTTTCCTTTAAAATTACTGGTAGTTAACTAAAGCTTCCTTTAAACTCCTAATTACACATTAATACACTCTATAAAAAAACACAAATCAATGTTATTCGTAGAGCACTAACAGTAGCAATAATACCTGGCCTTGAGCCTTGCGAGCCACAAAGCTTGTTGCGGAGATTGCTGGAAGTTGATGAGATGGCCGCTCGTTGACTAAGATGGCTGCTTGTGGAGTCAAATTCAATCTTCCGATCGAAGGCAAAGAAAGCGGCGTTGAGCTTTCGATTAGAAACCCAAACGAGCATTTTTTTTTTTTTTTTTTTTTGGATCAATAGCTTTGTTGTTTCAAACTACGTTTTAACGGTGAAAAGCAAATAATAAAAGAACAGTTACAAATTTTTTTTTTTTTTTTTTTTAGGATCAATAAGCTTTGTTGTTCAAACTACGTTTTAACGGTGAAAAGCAATAATAAAGAAAGTTACAAATTATAATCCAGTAAGTTTATAATTATTAAGAGTAAAATACACCTGGATATTAAATTATATTCTAATTAGCATTTTCATCTTTTTTTTTTCAAGAGAAATTATTATGACATTCTTGATTTTTACTCAAATTATTATAATTAAAATATTCAAAATTATAAAGTATTACAATACTTAATTATAATTATGATAATTATGATTGTAATGTTAGTTTATGCTTAAAATTACAGTTACAGCACACTAGAATAACAGTGATAGAATAATTATAGTTATGAAATTATTAAGAAAAAAGACTCAATTTTCCCTTCAACTTGGGTGGGATATAAAAATTTCACCTAAAAATTCATTTTTATGATTATCATGAGAGAGAAGGGTGTAAATGAGTTTATCTGACTAGCGAGCTCTTCGAACTTAACTTGAAAAAAGTTCAAAAAAATTAGGTTCGAATCGAGCTCGAGCCGGCTCGTTTTCATTTAGCAAACAATTTGAGGTTGAGCCTAATGATGGTCAGCTTGAAAGCTCATCGAACTTTTGTATACACATACATACATATAATATTTATTTATCCTTACTCAAATCTCAAGCCTCGAATTTAAAATTTTTAAAGTTGAACTTAAATTTTTATCGAGTCAAGATAGAGTTTAAAATTTTTAAGCTCACTAAGTTCCGAGCTTAACTAAATTTTATCGAGTCTAGCAGGTTTAAGCTCAGCCGACTTGTTTAGCAAATTAGCCGAGCTTGAATCTAATGATAGTTAGCTCGAAAGTTCATCGAACTTTTATATATACATACATGCATATAACATTTATTTTAGTCTTATTTGAGTCTTGAGTTTAAAATTTTTCAAATTGAACTTGAGCTTCAAATCGAGTTTAAGTTTTTTCCGAGCTTAGCTAAACTCTAACTGTATTTTGAGCCTAAGAAGTTGGAGCTCGGCCTACTTGTTTGCACCCATAATGAGAGATGTGCACTGGGCAAGGTAGGATGAAATTACAATTTTCAATCGTGTTTAAAAATGTCGTGACTTAAAAATGGAGTCCCAGCCATACCCCTTTACGTATGTTATCCGTTCAATTTTTGGGGACAAGACAAAATAGGAATTCAGATCCAAGGAACGGTACATAATAACTTTGGGTCCAGAATAGATTAGGAATTTTGATATTTTTACCAAAATTAATTTTTTTGCCAACAAAGACAAATTGCTATATATATAGTTGTAAACACATAAAATTCATAAAAATAAAAACTTGAATGAGAAGTTAAAATTACGTAAAATTCATCAATAGAAACTTGAGTAAAATAAATAAATAAATAAAATCAAATAATTTAGTAGTTGTTAATCTATTGCTAAACTTATATAATAGGAGGCAACTTATTAGTTGTCATCGCTAAACTCATGTTAATAAAGCGCAACTTTTTTTAAGCGTAATAAGACAAATTAATTCTAAATACTTACTACAATTTAATTTTACATAATAGCCTGTAAATTTTAATTATTTATTATTATGGATAAAACAATAACAATATTAAACATAACCAACAATTAGATAATTAAAATCAATGTTTTATCTTGTATGGATTAATGTTTTCAATTTTTGTCATTTGGATAATCCCCTTAGATGATTTGATTGAATGATGAAAGATGAAATCTAATTTCCGTATGTTCTAAATTTATGAAATATTTTTTATTTTTATATTTAATTTTAATAATTTTAAATAAGCATGGCTAGTTCGATGAACTAAAGATTCCGGTTCATTGGAGTAACAGTTTAAATTTTTTAAAATCTTAAATCTAAACTGGTAGTTAAATTTTAATTTTGGTTCTGGACAATTTTTTTAACACAGTTATTATGCATATCTATTTTCTCAAAAAAAAAAAAAAAAATCTAATGGGAATTTTATCTTGGCATCATATATATTTTGTTCCAAACACAATTAATAGAAATTTGAGAAAATGTTAAAGTTTTTATTTCTAAAAATTTTTAGAATACTATAAGAGAAGAAAAATACTGTCAAAACGTACAAATTAGTCAAATCAATTTCAAATATATTATTTTTGCTTTATTTAAAATTTTATTAACTAAATTAATTGTTAAAAAATTCATTAACCTTATAAATAAAAAAAGATAAAGATTTAATTACAGACAGGTTGTAATTACTAAGGTAATAAATTTCATTAATTTAATAAATATAAAATCAAAAATTACTTTTTTTTAATTTAGACTTGAACTAAATTAAAAGTAAAGTTGTTGGATTAAAAATAAATAGGTCTAAATTAGGTCAAACCCAAAATTATTCGTGACATAAAATTTATATATATATTTTTTTGAAGATAATATTTATAAAAAAATTTTCCCTGTAAAACATTAGCAAATAGCAAATAGTACAAAGCATAAGCATTTAGCTAGTGCATAGTACAGTTTGTATCATATAAACGTATAGTTTCATGTTTAACCTCATATATAATTTCTTTTTTATTTTTTGAGTATTGAGGGAGAGGATTCGAACTTGAATCTATTGTCAGGTCTTATATATATGCACTTACCATTAAATTATGTCTTGGTGTGCTTATATATAATTTTATTGTTACTGTTTTTCTCCTCCTTTATAATTTATCAAAATCATAATATGCATTATTCGCGTTTGCACTTTATCTTACTTTTCCTTTTTTTCCCCCTTTAATTACTAAAAAATTCCTAAATTTTTGTGTTGATATATACTTTGGTCCTATTATTTTAAAATTGTGAATTTATCACTGCATTTTAGTTTCTAATGTTTTATTAATAGAACTTTAATTTCACGATTTGGGTGAGATGAAATTACAATAGTCCTTTTTACTTTAACTAGAAGTCTCGAGTTCGATTTAGTGAGTATCCAATCATATTTACTAATTTGAAAAGCGAAAAATTAAAAACCTAAAGAATTGCTAATAATATAGTATTCATGTAACCTAGAGAGACATTTGAAGACTTAAAATAGCAATAAATCCCATACTTTCAATATAGAATTTAAGAAGTTTCATACTTTATCTTGCAGGTTATGAAATTTAAATCAAGTCCCATACCTTTTCTTGCAATTAAGATTATAACAACACCCAATACAAATTTGCCATTCTTTTTTTTCTTTTTTTTAGTATTGAATAATTTAAAAAAGAATTTTTTTTATGTTGATAAGATTCGATTATTTCAAACTTTTGCATCTACTATTTTGAAGCTTTGTTTTAAAAGATGTCAATTTGACTTTAAATATTAAAATAATATAATTTTTGTTATTCATTTACTACGTATCTCTTATTGTCGTTGTTGCAGCTATTACCATTGTTGTTGTTGTTATTGTCATTGCCATTGCTTTTGTTGCCCGTCATTAATTATCGTCGCCAATCATCATCGTCGTAGTTGAATTACAGCTGTATAAGGACAATTTTTGATTTATTTTTACCAATATTATTCTTTTAATTTTTATTTTTTGTGACATTTTATTAACATAAAAACCTAATTTATGACATTTTTTTTTGAAGGCACAGACAAAGACCATTTCATTAATATAATGAGAGGTGACAAATACGATGGAATGACATTCAATTCCTTGAAACGAGCATGCTGGTAGAATACCCTAGCAAGAGTATCGGAACCTACATTCGTTTGCCTTTGACACCATCTAATTTATGACATTTGTTAAGTTGCCTCTACTGAATATTTATGACAGTAATCCAAGATAGGTCGGTCTAATAGGTGAAGTGCAAAAATAGAAGTTGAAGCCAAAAATTAAATAATAAAAAATAATATGGTTTGGTTTAATTTTCTCTTTTTTTTTTTTTTTTTTTTTTTTATTAGATTATAATGAGAGGTGGACAAAATACGATGGAAGTGACATTCAATTCCTTGAAAACGAGCATTGCTGGTAGAATACCCAGCAAGAGATATCGGGAACCTACATTCGTTTGGCCTTTGAACACCTATCTAATTTATGACATGTTTAAGATTGCCTTCTACTGGAATATTTTTATGACAGTAATCCAAGAATAGGTCGGTCTAATTAGGTTTGAAGTTGCAAAATAGAAGTGAAAGCCAAAAAATTAAATAATTAAAAAATAATATGCGTTTTGGTTTAATTTTTCTCTTTTTTTTTTTTTTTTTTTTTATAAAGTTGCTCCACCCCTATGCCCCCTGTTTTTTTTATAAAGGGGCATTTGCCTATTTTTTTTTTTTTTTTTTTTTTTTTTATAAGTTTGCTCACCCCTATGCCCCTGTATAAAGGGGCATTGCCATGGGAAGAGAAAACCAAAATAGCATTATAGAAATAGCCAAATCATAATAGCTTCCTATGGCTAGTAAAGCATTAGTATTAGCAATGTTGCTAATAGGATTGTTGGCTCCTGCTGAGCCAAAAAGGATATTAGACGAAGATATTCCAGATGATTTTAGTCGTTGTTACTTTCCACCTGGCTTCACTTTCGGTACAGCCACCTCTGCTTACCAGGTATATACATATATATACTTAAATTTTACTTTCCTGTTACAGTGAAAGTTCTACCTGCATCTTAGAGCGAAAATTTTCTTAATACAGTTAAAAGAAAGTTATATACTAATTTTATTTCAAGATTCGTGATAATCTCTTGCTAATTGCCTATTAAACTCAATATCTTATCATTTTTCCTTACAGTTATCTAGTAATGTCGTTTTGAAGAGGGATTATTATTAGCAATGTTTATGACGACAACTCATATTAATTTATGGTATATATTTAGATTGAAGGCTCAGCAAACAAGTTTGGCAGAGGGCCTAGTGGTTGGGACGAATTCTCTGGCGACTTTCCAGGTCTTTTCTCTTTTTATTTATTTTTCAAGAAAAAATATTTTTCACGAAAATATTTTTCAACTAATTATTTTCGAGCAAGTTATTTTACAAAAATAAATGGAGCTCTGATTTATGTGCATTTTTCTTTGTATAGCAATTGCTAGGAGGACACAAATTTGAAATTTCCAGTTCTACACAACTTTACAAGACACGAAGTGCAATGATGAATATACTTTATTAAGTTTTGTGCAACAATATTTAGAGATCTTGCAATTAATTAAGGCCTGTAATAATATTTAAAGCATATGAAATGAAATATACGTTGACGGAGGGAGGGGGCAAAAAATTTTCAAAAATTTACCTCTAAATTTCTTGAATTTTCAATTTTATCCCTTAAAATAATGTACCTTTTAATTTAGTCCCTCCTGACTTTGTACAGAAATTCCCTCCCTTTATCTTCAATTTGGGCTCTGCCATTGCATGCAGGAAAGATTTTCGAGACTACGCAGACCTTTGCTTCCAAAGATTTGGTGACAGAGTGAGATTTTGGATCACTTTAAATGAACCATGGACTTTTATCTCATTTTCCTATGATAAGGGCCTTCACGCACCTGGCCGATGCTCATCTTGGGTGAATCATGCATGCCGAGCCGGAAACTCCGCCACTGAACCTGACATAGTTGCCCATCACTTGGTCCTTTCTCATGCAGAAGCTTTTCACCTATATAGAGAAAAATATCAGGTACAGTGTACACAAACATAAACTACAAAATGAACCTGCATTAATTTTTTTTAGTGTAACCAGAAGCTATAATCCCCTCGGAGCTGTAAAAAGTAAATGTTTTTTCCCTCCCATGAAAGTGTACTTTCCGATATTCGAACTTGTATATATTCTCACGGAGATTAAGTTTACTTACCACCCCAATCAATTGGATTAATTTTATTTTACATTAGCATTATTGATTGTAGACACCTCAGGATGGCAAGATTAGATTAGCACACGTTACTTTTTGGTATGAACCCTTCTCTAACTGTAAAGATGTTAAGGAAGCAGCTCTTGATTTCAGTTATGGATTATAAGTCTTTCTTCCAAATTTGTTAAGCATTTCAATTATTATATGTATAGGTTTTTCATTTCCATGAATTTTGATGGTCAGGTTTTTGTATCCTATGACCTACGGTGATTACCCAAGGAAGTTGAAAGACTTTGTTGGAGATAGATTGCAAAAATTTACATTAGCAGAATCTAATTTACTGAAAAAATCATATAATTTTCTTGGACTACAATACTACACTGCATATTATGCTAAAGCAAATGCTGATGTTCATCCAAACTATATTAGATACGGAACCGATCATCAAGTTAATGTAACTAGTGAGTGTATATAGATTTACGAAACCGATTTTCATCAAGTTAAATGTTAACTAGTGTGACTGTAAGTATTTATATATTATATATATATATATATATATATTATATTATATATAATATAGCACGATTGATGTTTCTTTTTTTTTTTATTCTCATCTGTGACTAAACTATTAATTTTAATTTTTACTTTTTAATATTACTAAATTACAGCTATTTTAGCGTTCGAAGAATGTCAAAAAAACTATTTGGTCCACCGGTTAGTGCTTCAAGATGAACTTGATCAAATAATATATATAAATGATATATATATTATATATTATTATATCTACTAATATATATATGATACATATATAAAGAGAATTCTTTTTAATTGCATGTATGGAAAATACTTAATAATGTATAATTAACATGTAATCAATTAATTAATAGTCGCAGGCTCACTCACCTTGGTTTTATATTTACCCTAAAGGTATTCGATATTTATTAAATTATACTAAAGATAAATACGATAATCAAGTCATTTACATTACTGAGAATGGTAAGTTTATATCTTTTTCTAATTGAATTGTATATTCAAATGATATTTTTTTTTTTATTGTAGTAAAATTCTAATTTCTTGATATACAATTTCTGCTTTCTCTATATTCTTGACAATTTCTATTCTAGCAATATGTGTCCATCTAAAATAATAATAGTAGTCCAATGACAAAGTTGAGACAAAATGACATTTCACGAATATAATAATTAAAAAAAAAAATCAAGCAATCCTTAGTATAATTTACTCACTTTTAGTTTATTAGTATATTATCTGTGAGATATATAATAGAATAAACTTTTGCATAAATTAATTCAGGGATTGATGAGCACAATAACGAAACCCATAGGCTGGAGGAAGCAGTGCAGGATCCATGGAGGACCCAATTTTATCAAACTCATCTTTGGAATGTGCTTGGATCCATTAGGTGAGTCCAAATTAATTATTCTAAGTTAATAATAATTGACATGAAATCATTATTGTATATTGATAAATTAATTTTGGACGCAGGGACTATAATGTCAATGTGAAAGGTTATTTTGCATGCTCATATTTGGACAACTATGAATGGGATATTGGATACACATCAAGGTTTGGTCTGTTCTATGTAGACTACAAAAATAACTTGGCAAGACACCCAAAGCAATCCGCAGAATGGTTCCAGAAATTCTTGAAAAATGAATTATCTATTGATAATATTCCATCAAGGCAATGTCACAGCGGGTTCATAGAAGCTGCTCAACAAAACTCCTTCAATGGATGCCAATAAGGACATTTATAATTAGTTTCTCTTCTATACAGTCACTGGATTTCTGCTTCAATAATGATCTAGTGACCTTTTAATAAAATTTGCAATGATCATCGTTTTGTGTTGTCATGTACCGTTAATTAGTCAAGGAATGCTTGTTTTTTAAATTAAATAATGCTATGTTTCTTAATTTTCATAATTAATTAATTGGTACAAATGTTTTTAAAATTGGATTAAACTGGTTGATCAAATCGGTTAATTAATTCGCAAATTGATAATTGATCTTATGCGGTTCAATTTGAAAGATTGGAAATGCGGTTCAATTGATAATAAATAGTAACCTAATCTTTTCTAGCATTTTTTATTTGTACTAATACTACGTTTAGTAAGATCAATACGATACAAAATAAATAGTATCTTATTGAAATTAAATACCGACGATGTGTTACCTATTGCCAATACACAAATAACTTTAGTAATAAGAAATCACGATCTAATTTTTTAAGGAAAAGTCATAATCTATTTTAATTCATATTATTACTATTATGTAGATATAAAATACTATATATAAAATTAAAATGAAATTCTTGGATGTCGATGATGTAGTGTGTAATACACTATTATGTATTAAGATGTTGAAATATATATTAATGCAATGTTGTGGATGTTAATTTGAAGACTAGTAAGAATGTATTATGATACATTTGATTTTATAATTTTAAAACTTTTTTAGCAAGCTTAAGTAAGCCCAAGGCCCAAGGCCCACGACCTCAAGGCTAAGAATCAAGTAAACCTCAAAAACTTAGGCCCATAAACTCCAGACTCAGATTGGGAATGTATTGTGATACATAATAAATAGTATTATCTACATTAGTTATAAGATTTATTATATATATATAACATAGAATAAAAATTCAAATCTATTTGTTGGATGTGAATCTATTGAGTTCCATAAAACATATTAAGCTATTTAAATTTACTTGTGAAAAAAACTAGTATTATATAAAGATGCTCATTGAATATCTAGATTTAATACAATACATAATAAAATATGTTTTCCAAATAAATTATGTGCTTTGCTCGGCATTGTCAATACAGAGTTAACTTTAATAATAATATTACAATATTACAATATTTTTCTTGCAACATTTTTTTTTTAATTCACTGGAGGCTTTTATGGGCCGAAATAATACTACAGACGAGAGGACTCGAATTTGAGACCTCTCACTCCTCACATAAGTGAGCAAACTAATCATACCACCACCTGATTAGTATTTTTATTGCGCAATGTTGTTACATTATGTAGATATATAATATTGAAAATATAATTTAAAAAAATTTCTTGAATTTCGGAATAACTAACACCAAAATAATACATATGAAAAAGCTTAATTTATTTACTGGACATATTAGCAGTAGTTGACAAGCTATTTTGCAAGTGTACGAAATTGTAAACAAGTAATAAATAGTGAGTAGAGTATCGTCTCACGAAGATTACATACGAAGTACCAAATTATATGAATCTACTATTATCTAAATGACAATAAGAGAAATAATTGTAAAAATAAAAGAAATAAATTAAAGCAATGAATAAGAAATCAAGCAAGGTTGAAAAGAAATCAAGGCTTAAAAGTTACTAGAAATTTTGACTTACTTAATTCTATCTAATTCATTTTATTAGTTTAATAATTAATTTTAATTGTTCAAGTAGGGGAAACAACCTTAAAATCACCAACAAGCTCTCCCGATATATTGTTAGCTATTTTAACCCGGTCTAATTAGCTATCTCTCAATAGCGCAATTAAATATGGATTAAATCATTAAATTTTATGGTTTGTTTATGAATTCATAACCTAAGAGCGTTAACTTGTGAAAACCCCCATGAGTCAAACCATATAGCTTTCGCATCAAGTTATAATTTACATGTAATTTATTACCCTTTTCATATTAAAAACCTTTTTTCTGATAGTGATTAATGAAATAAATCAATCATGAGAAAAAACTATGTCTCAAAGCATTAAGTTAATAATAAATTATAATTTGAACAAAAAAAACAAATCTAATATTATAAATTGAAATCGAAATTAAGCTACATAAATCCCTAGTATGAGAGTTTAGTTCGACATAGTAATTAAATTAAACTCAATTAAACTTGTAAATAATCTCATAAAGAATAATGAATAAAAAAGAGTTTAGAAATAAAAAACTAGTCAACGTTTGACTTGAGCAACTCCTTTGAATCTTCACACAAATTTGAATGCTTGAAGTCTTAATATGAGAGAAAACTAAGTAGAGAACAATAGAACAAGAGATAATAATAACCTAGTTACTCTCTCTCTTTATATAGACTCATCGGAAAATCTTCAAATTCATTTAGGAAATGAATCTTTATTGGGAAGAAATATTTTGGAGATAGTAAACTGTTTAGGCCTTGTATTTCTTTCCAATTAGGACTCTTCCAACTTCTAGTTAGGATTTAAGCTTGATTAGGCAAGTCACATAAGATTCTCATGAAGATTCATGCAGGCAGCATGGGCTAAAGCTGAAACTTTCAGCACAAGTTGAATTCGGCAGATTAGCACTAGGGTGCTAAGTAGCATGCCCTGGGTGTGCTCGAGTCTGACCCTCATTTGATTTTGCTTTGGAAATAGCACGGGGTTGCTGGGTAACACGCCATGGGCTTGTTTTTTTATTAGAAATCTTAGACAAATGATTGCTTTTAATCTTCTTTTGCATTTTTGACTGGTTTTGTATAAAAAATTCCTATAAATTCCTCAAGATAAAGTGAAATATGATTTAAAGAAATTTTAAACAAAAACAAAAATAAATTGCATTTTTGGCTGGTTTTGTATAAAAAATTCCTATAAATTTCTTCAAGATAAAGTGAAATATGATTTAAAGAAGTTTTAAATAAAAACATAAATAAAACTAAATAAAAACTAATTAAAGTAATTAAAAATGCCAAAAATTCTAGTAAAAACTATATTAAAAATACTAAAAAAATAACACTTATCGTCACTACTATGTTAGGATACTAGTTTAAAATTTATTAAGATTATATTATAACATATAATAAATAGTATTCTCAAAATTATCAATTTACTAGGCATTGCCAATTCACAATTAAATGGGTAAGGTTTTTATTTTTTTATAAATTTTCATTTCTGTTATTAACAAATAATGTCATTAAATTCATTCCATATAAAATACCTCTTGGATAAAAAGCTTCCCGTCTATTTGCAACCCCTTCCCACCAATATTTCTTCTCAATTTTATCCAAGGCTATAAACGACTTTGTACAGTTCTATTAAATGCCTATATTTATTTGTGTAGTGCAGGCATGGCCACGGTTCCGGAACCGGCGGTTCCGGTTCTAGAACCGGCTGGAACCAGAACCGAACCGAAATGGTCCGGTTCCGGTTCCAGTTCCGAACCGTTCGGTTCCGGTTCCGGTTCCGGTTCCGATCCGATTACAAAACGATTACAAAACCGACAAAGAAGAGAGATGCCGCAGTCTGCTAATAGACGACCGGTCTGGTTATTCCCGCGAATCGCATAATTTTAAAGATTTTTAAAATATTTGATCTACACAATCGCTATTTCACAATAATAAGCTAATAAGTTTAATCTATGGCTCATTACATAAAAACTTAAAAAATACAGTTTAAAAAATTTTAAAAATATGGAAGACCGAGTTAAAAAAAAAATTATTGAACATTAAAAATTAAAAATTACACCTAAAAAATTTTAAATTTGAAGATCGGTTAAAAAAAAATTTATTTGAATCATAAAAAATTTAAAAAAATACACCCTAAAAATTTAAAAAACTACTCAATTAAATTTATTTTTTTAAAGACTTGGAATTGTTGAGTGCGTTGAACAATAATGATTTTTTTAAAAAAAATTTTGAACTTGAATTTTTTTTTTAAGGTTTGAACAAAATAAAAAAAAAAGGGCTTGAACTTAATTTTTATTTTTTTTGTTTTAAAAAAATATTAAGTTGCCTGCGTATCCTCTTGGCGGTTTAGAGGGGAATCAAAGCCCAACGTTAAGTTCTTACTTACCTTATACCAATTTCACCCTTTTTTACCTTAATCGCTATTTGCACCAGCTGGTTGATGTTCCCGTTGGAGGGACCCATCGTATTAAATCAAATAAATGCTTCCATTTTCTTTTTGTATTTTCTTGGGCTCTTTAGTTCGGCTTGGTCCAATCATCCACGCACGCTTGTGCCTTCTAATGGAATTTCAAAGGTGTTCCATACGAGATCGTGTTTTTCATTCAAGTATTGTTACCTCCTTGACTGAAAGCTTGTTCAACCGCAAACAGTTTGGAGACCGGAGCTGCTTCAACAGTGGAGACCGGAGCTACTAAAATTTGTTTTGCAAGTAAAGAAAGAATTGAAAAAGTATTTGCGTGACGACTCCACCAATCTAAAATTGGAAAATCTGCATCAGCATAATCATCACCAAACTCAAAAGAAGTTGTTAGATAATTATCAAATTCAGAAATAGAACTGGATTCCCTTGTTCTTTTTTGTCTTTGCAATGAAACTTATTGAGCAACACCAACACCACTTACCCTTTATGTTGAAAATTGTGGAATATTAGATTGAGAAGAAGTAGAAATAGAAGTAGATGAACTAGAAAATAATTGCATAATATTTTGTTTAACTTCATGCATTACTACATTTATATTAACATTATCTTCTACTACATTTATATTAACATTATCTTCTACATCAAGATTCAATACTTCATAATAAATAGTCAAATAATCACATAAAACATCCATTCTACATCTAGGATCAAATATAATAGCAACAAGATAAAGGGGTGCTATATTTTTAAAATAAGATAACCATTTTTTTTTCATTGAAAAAATACAATCTTTTAATAAATCATCATTTTGAAATTCTTGGAGTGCATTAACAATATTAATACACAGGTAAAAATAAATGAGATGTGGGATAATAAACCCCACTAAATTTATAGGTAGCATCATTAAAAATTTTTAAAATA